TATTACTGACTATGGAAGACACAGAATTATGACTTTTTACTTTATCACCAATTATTGATCCTTGTTTTAGAATTTATAGTACTGCATCCCCAAACTATATAGAAATTGATTAGTTGTTGGTGTTATTGCTCATTACGTGGAACACATAATTGGTTTTCTCCTGAATATATATATATATATATTGGCCAGGGCCTCTCACACCCAATGCTCAGGCTCCCACTGGTGGGTGTGCAGCTCACCTGAGGTTTCAGAGGCAGGGCCTGCTGCTGTCACCACAGGTGGTGCTTCTGCTACCAGAGCACAGGTGGGGCCTCTGCCCACTGCACCTCTTCCCCACAGGCCTCGCAGATATTATGCAACATGCAGGCTGTGATGATATATATAGTCTACTCATATAAAGGATGCCAAAATCCCTGAATTATTCTTAATTATTTAGGATTTCAAATGAACATAACTTGAAGGAAAACACATGGATTAATCTGCCACAGAGTGGTATTGTGAGACTCAATTTAATTACAATTTGTAAAACAGCATGAGTTTTATACCTAGAAAGTGATAAATACATATTGATTTTCATGTAAGCTATCACCCTATACAGAGGGTGGGTCGAGATTTGCAAGACTGAAACCCAGTTTGGGCCACCAAAATAGAATATACTGGTAAGTATATCATTATCTGTACAGCCGTCTTGTGCCAGACCTCTACACAAATTGTCAGTGGTCATCTCTTGAGCAGTTTAGATAAAAGAATGTTAAAATGAACCTTTGTAATTCTCATGTCACCCCATAATCAGAATGATAACGATACACTATAAAAAAGCCATGATCTGTGGAACATATTACATATTACGGTGTTCTTCAAGAGCACTCAAAAATATATTTCTGAAGATACTTTGAAGAAATAAGATTGGCTTGGTTTGCCCAAGAAGTTTACCATAATCATTTGGAAACCAGGATTTGATGATATAAGTCAGACTTGTTTTCTTTAAAGAAATTGTTTTTAAAAGTAGCTTTGCACTGTCATATGCTTGCTTTGTGTCCTAGAAGTCTCAAAGTTATTTTTTTTTTTTTACATACATTCAAGATTTAAAGTAGTTCTAGTCTTTTGACCAACACTTATTCTTTTTTGTTGAGTTTCTCCTTATAGTAGGGCCAACACCTGTCATGTGTTTTATTTTTCACCGTCTCCTAAAAGGAAGAAGAGTGAGGCATTTTGTTTTGGAATTTATGTAATCATATATGTAAACAAATAGTTACATTTTTTTTTTTTTTATTGGAGAAGGCAGAAGGCAGGGAAGGTGGCATATAAGGGCGCTGACAGATGTGGAAAAAAAACACATACTGGAAGCAGCACCAGTATATACTTTGACCTGGCACTGTAGCATGTGTAGAGATTGGGAGCTTCAGTGGAACTTTTTGGCACTTTTAGCTAAAGCTGTTTCAACCAGCTATTTGATAAAAGTGCCAAAAAAGCCCTGCTAAACCACATAGTCTCTACAGGTGTTGGGAAAACTGGGTGCAGCTAATGTGCTGTCTCTTCTAGGCATGCTCTGGGCTTGGCACAGGAGTGTGCTGGATTTAAAGTAAAGTGTTGTTTTGCTTGTTTTGTCCCCCACATCTGCAACAACCATAAAGAATAACTGGTTCAAGGTGTTGTACTGTACTGCCTTCTTTATTAGAGGAAGTAAAGTCAAAGGATAGCATTTTTCACTTTGTTTGTAATATGGCTGAGAGTGGAGTAGTTTTTGATGGCCCTTATTTTTTGTAGGAACTCATGACATGGTCTCAGGGGAACCCCACACAGTTTCATAGTTTTAGGGTCGGAAGGGACCTAATAGATCTTCTAGCCCGACCCCCCAGAATAGCTTTAATTCTGGTGTATAGTGTTCCTTTGTGCCAGAAGGGGAAAAACAATATCTACCACCGTGTTCAGCAGAGCTTTAGTTGATTACTTAGATATTTTGGGGCCAGAATACTGAATGTCTTTAACAAATGGATGGAAAATTTCAATTTGATTCAATATTGTTTGGTAAGCATACAGAGTGGAGGACAGGCCAGTGCTTACAGCAGCCTGAGACCACACCATCCTCCTGGATTGGCTGGTGGTGGCATCACAAGACTGGCTGGAGGACTCAGGCCTGGTGGGTGAAGGACATCACCTGCAAGGAGGCATAGGACTAGGCAGACTGGAAGTTTCAGGTGCAGTTCCTGGCCCTGCAGTGTGAGCAGCTGGAGGCCCCTTTGCCTGGACCCAGGCCCACCCGAGCTCCACACAGGCACAGCAGGGCAGGGATGGGCCAGATGGCCATGGGCCAGCCAATGGTCAACATGGTGAGCCAGAAGGGCCAAGGTGGTGGCCATCAGGAGCCCAGGGTGCTGGTTGTCACCTCCAGGGGCAGGAGCTGGAGCAGCCATAGTACAGGGGGCAGAGTTGGTGAGCAGAGTGTTGCTGCATGCTGCCCCTGCACTGTGCACATTGCTTCTGGCCAGAGAAGTGACTGGCCAGGGAGAAGAGAGCAGGGCTGGCTTTTGGAGAGGGATGCTGGCTGCTGGCAGTTGCAACCAAAGTCTGGAGCTCCTCCCAGTGGTGGCATGGGCCCACCACAGGAAGGTTGGTGCCAAGAGTAGCAAATCTGCTTCCTAGTCCCTGCATGGGTAGAAGCCTGCTCAGGAATGTTATGTGCAAATACTGTACTTGAAAATAAACTTCTCAGATTCTATACTTGATTTGAGCCTTCAAGAGGCCAAGAAGCAGTTCAGTATGTCAGAAGGCATCATTTTCATACCCACAACATTTAGCTTCTACCACCTTAAATCAGAAAACATGAATGGATTTGACTCCTTTGATCTTTTCATGTGGAAGCCCCCCTTTTAACAAATTTGGAGATGGGCATGTTGGAAATTTCACTCGGTGTTTCATTTTGAAGCTATTTCACTAGTTCGTGCTTGAAACAGTGAAATCGAAACAAAACAAAAGCCTTTGAAACAGTTTTGAAATGAAACAATGGAACTCAAAATGTTTCAAAAGTTTTGAGTTTTGAGCCAGTCTTGCTGGCTTCAGCCCTGGTCCCAGCCAGCAGCACCCACCTCCTGCCCTCCAGCAGGCAGATCGAGGGCTCTCCTGCACCCCCCGGGAGGGCTGTGGGGGGCTGTGCCTGACTCTTCCTGGGGGTGCGGGCCCCTGATCTGTCTGCCAGATGACAAACTGGTGCTGGATGCAGCCCACACCCAGCGCTGGGAAGATTGGTGCTGCCACTGGTCCCAGGCAGCAGCACCTGCCTCCTGTCATCTGGCAGGCAGATCGGGGGCCCATTAATAGTGGAGGAAAAGTGGGTGGAAAGCATTTCAACAAGTAATGATCCTAGAAGGTTCTGTGGTTTCAGCTTGCACTGTTGACACATCTAAAGAGTAGGAATGCACAAAGGACATTTGGAAAAGAAATAGGAATTATAAGTCTTCATTGGTTTATGGCAAAGTAGAGCTTTTCAATGGAGCATCAGTAAAGAGCAGCACTATAGAATGATGTTCTTAACTATGAAAGGAACTGGGATGTACAAAGCACCAAAGTCCTGGAACAGTCTTTTAAAATAAACTGCAAGATTAAACTTTTCTAAAAAAACAAGTAAAATCAGTAAGGGAGATGCATCCTTTCATGAGCAGTGAGTGTTCCAATTAGTTCATTGCTAAGACTGCCAGTTTTCAGAGAACTTTACCCATATAACAGTTTATGGGAAAGAAGAACAAAATTAGAGTTCATAAATGTAAAGCACTCCAGAATATAAAAGTGCTTATTAGTTTTAAACCTAAAGGGTGCAATAAATGGGAGTAAAATATATCTACCTTTTTCTGTGCAGATTAGATAGGGTAAAACATAGCTTTGTAGACATACAGTACTTCTCTGTCAGACTCTCTTCATTATTTTACTTCAGGGCCATAGTAATAAAGATTATATCCATTTTCTAATTTGACACCACCAAATCAAATGCTACTGTAAGGCAAAAATCTAGATAGGTACCTAATGTAACCTAAATGCAACATTAAACTGGGTACCTAGCATCTGCCACTACCCTCGTTCTGTTACTTCTGATGCCCATTGCAGTAAAAGGGAAAAAATAATAAATCAAGTCTTCTTCAGAAATATCTCTAGGTAAGATTCCTCACCCCCACCGCATGATATTTTGTGCAATATATAGAAAGACTTTCAGTTAACATGTTAGACCACATTAAAAGACATAACTGGCAGGTTTTAAATTCACACTAAAATCTAAAGGTATAAATTAGCTAAATCCACTACTCAGAAAATTTGAAAGAAGATTCCATTGACAAAGACCTCCGAATAAAGAAATTAGTTTCAATCTAAGACCTGATTCTTCCATTTAACAGATCCCCTATACATGTGCACAGCAAACTAAGGTACTAATATATTTTTACAGACTTATTAAGTAAATATGCACAGAGAGTTTTGATACAATATAAATGAGTATTTTATATTCAGCTAACAGCATATAAAACTTGGACTGAAACTTTGAAATATCTGATGGAAGTTTTTCAACATTCAAAATTGCCCAAGTTTTTCCAATTTCATTTTTCCAAATTTTAATGACAAACTGCCAATACAAAAAAAATCTTTTTAAAAATCAGTGCTGCTATGGAACAACAAAATACTATTGATAAGCAAAACTAGCAAGATATTCTACAACTAGGTCACGAATTCTCATCTGTGACACTAACATGGAAAAATAGTGAAGATCCCACACTTGTATTAACATACACAAATTTACCCAGTTATACACTTATAAAGTGGAAATGAAACAGAACATTTAACTCCAGCCTTCTTTGCCAATCATTGCCTTCTAACTCTCCCAAAGGCTTCTTTATAAAGCCTTCCCTTGGCATTTCATTCTTGACACTTTTCCCTATTTGAAGCCTAAAATAAAAGCAATGTTACTCTCACACCTCCTACCTAACCTGAGAGAAACGGAGAAGCAGACAGATCCTCACCTCCTCTTCAACTGGAAAAGAGGCACCAGCAAAATCTTCACCTTGTTCTTATGTCTATGGAGTTACTATAGATTCCCATCAATTATTTTGATAGCTGAGAAAGAGAAAACAACTGAAGAATCTTCATCCTACTTCTACAAGAGTGGCAGTGGCAGCAACTCCTTACCCACCAGCAAGATCTAGCTAAGGGGCAGAAAGTGAGGCATTATCACTTCTCTTTGACTGATAACTAGTTGAGTAATAGGTTGCAGGAGGCCTTTTACACCTTCCCAGTCCTGGAAAAGGAAAGCCAGAGAGACTGTAGTAGCTTAGCAGCTGGTCCTAATTTTATGGGGCTGAGGTAGGTGTGTTAGGCACGTTTGTAAGGAAAGTGGAAGAAGGAATGCACAAGCTGAGGGCAATACTGAAGCACTCAAAAGCCATGCAGAGATCTAGTAAAACGTTTCTTATTGAAATACTATCCTGTGGCCTGCCTAATCAATGTAAAATGTTATAAAATGAATGTACTTTACATTTAATGGTCATTGGTTAAAATGAATAACAGTTTCTTTCTGGGACTGGAGCACAGCATACCTTTCTAAAGGAATTGTCCAAAACACTAGGTTACATAATCAGGTTCACTCTGACCCAGACCCAATGAATCTTGATTTATTTGCTGCATAATAACACAGCTTTAAGAAGAGAGGTGAAGAGACTCTCCTTCCTTCCTCCCGCCTTCCCTCCTCAAATAGTTTATATTGTAGGGTGAAATGGCTTGCTCAAGCAAGTAGAAACCATTGGCTTGAATCCCAACCCCAGAAAAGAAAAGAATTGAAGTTGAGTGTCTTATTTCCTGGATAAATGCTCTAACAATTAAAACGTTTAAAAAGAGGTCACTGGCACCTCCACTATTGCTGACAACTACTTTGGATAGTGATGTCTGTGGTGATATTTTGTGAACCCAGACCTGCTGGTGTGTGTTAGTGGTGTTTTAAGAGCACCAAGTGGATCAAGCCCCTGTGAGGCAGTGGAATACCTCATTCCTGGAAATTCAATTTAGGCAGAAAATATGTCTAGTGCTTGGCTCTGTTTAAATATGAATATGGACATCAAAATGCAAAAAAACCCCAAAAGGCAGAAGGCAGGGCAGGGTGACACCTTAGGGAATTTATACATGTGCTTTGGGGGGGGGGGGGGGGTGTTGCAATTTAATTAGAGTGATTCTCTGTCGGGGAGAGCCGTACTCCGAGAGTCAGTCGAATTAAACCAATCCGGGTGTCACATGTATCAGCATCCTCACACTAAAAAATGGCAGCGGGTGAACATTAAGGCTCATGAGCTTTAGTTCTACGAGCTTTAGTTAAAGTGCCCCTGCCATCATTTTTCAGCTCAGGGAAAAAAGCGCAGTAATTACCACACTCCAGCAGACTTGATTAATTGAGTCCACTCCAACACACTGTTATTACATCACATGAGATCAGCCTTGCTGCATGTGTATAGGTTTTCTTAGAGTTTTACTATCAGAGAAGCATAGACTACTATAGGAAACAAACTCATCATCAGATGATAACCATGCAGACAAAACTATAGGTTTTGCTCAGCTGCTTGTCTAGACTGCTCTTAAGGAACAAATAAAGAAACTTATCATAATGTGAATGATTAAGAAGAGATTTATTATAATAAATATCCCTGAGTAAATATTTTCCTTTACATTCAGAAGGTATTCCATCTGCTATTGCTATTTTTTCATTCTCAGTTTCTGAGCTGCAGAACACATATGTTTGAATGTACTTTTTTTTTTTTTTTGCTTTTGGCAACTGCTAAAACATTTTGTTGTTGATAATGAAAAGGCAAAATATTCTCAACCTGCAGGCATAATGAATAACATTACAAAGCACAGTCAAGGCTATTAACTATCATCAGATTTCCAAATTGTTCATCACCTACAGTTGGGGGCAGATTGTCAAGAGAGCTCATTTCTCCCAAAATAAGGGACATAATATTCAAGAGAGCCCAGCATGGTGGGTGTTGTGCATGATCAAAAACCTGACTGTAAGCATAACAATGTGTGTGATTGGAAGATGAATACTTGAGAATCTCATTCTTATTTAGGTGTCTGGGAGCAGAGCAATGGGGAACATCTGGCCACATTAGCTGGGGCTGCTGACCACTTGTAATCTGGCCCTTAGCTCTTTTAATAAACTGGCCCTTTATGTTTTATATGCTAAATTGTACTCTTTCAAGAAACAAATTCCTTGAATGCCTTCCCTTGGCTATTGTTTTGTGGCTGTGTCTGATGAATTTTTCCAGTCTTTCATGCAAATTTCACACTATTTGATTTTTCTGCCCAAATAATTCTTGTCTTGCTCAATTGTATGTTTTAAAAGAAGTAGGTCAGTGATAGTGAGGGCCCCTCAGAGAAAAAAATTAACAGAATCAAATTCTTGTCATTAAGATCCCAAACCCTCCTTCAGGGCCATATTTTCTGTGCTGTTTTTTTAAATCTGCAGCTGGTGGCATGCAGCTTTCATGTGAAAGACTGTAGTCAAAGCTTTTACAATAATTACTATTGAAGAATCATTAGAAACTTAGAAACAATTTCGCTGAATTGTTGACTGAGTTTACAAATCCTTCAATGGGTGAGTTGAGTGAGAGTAGGATGACAGTTCCTAGTGGAAAGTAGGCAAAACTCACTCTTGTTGCATTTGACTTTGAATTTTTTGTGTGTGAAAGCACCTGAAGCTCAAAGCAAAGACTCAATACATGTGAAGTCATTGGATCTAAACTTTAAAAAAAAAGGTTAATGCACAGAGAATCAAAGCTACTGCATTGATTTTTCATTTTTCTGCCTCATTGGTTTTGCATCGTTCTACTTTTTAATATCATTATTCTAGAAGAACTAGTCCCATTATAGAAGAACAAACTGAAGTATCTATGAGTTCTCATAGAGTACGAACACTGAGTAAGGAATGACAGACACTGGGAAACAACCACACATTCAAATATAGGCCGAATATATATTTACTAAACAAATAAAGAGGAAATTAGGAGAATATTTAATGATGGTATTTATTTAAGACTGACTAGAGATACTATTTAAAGAAAATTAATTTGACAGGTATATAAAACTGGATAAAACACTGGACAAAAGTGTACTATAGGGGAAATTTCTGTACTGGCACAGTAATAGATTGCATAATATAATATAGATCTATTTCCATGTATAATGTCTATGATTTGTTATTTCTGCTAAAGTAGAATAAAATCATGGGAGTATTTAATGCTAGTTTTCTACCAGAATACTCATAATTCTGAATAAATTATAGTTGCATTTATTATACTATGATATATAATACAGCAATGTCTAGTAATATAATGTTAGAGATAGTAAGATGGATACACTATGAAAACCTGTGATCAGTGCTACAGTCCTTAAGCCAATAGAACATTTGCAGGTGTAAAGAAGTGCAAAATTAAGTTTTTTATTAAAAATAAATTAATTTCTCCCAGTAATATGCTGAGGCAATATTTTTTTAATTAAACAATCTCTTCTATTAAAAAATAGTCCAGTACATTCAAAATGTGTCTTTCATCTCAAATCACTTCTGAAATCTAAAGAGTGCAAGATAGTTATAAGCAAAGGAATATACAAAGGGTACTTTTTCAAAGTTATCTAATAAGTAACCATCTAGTCTAAAGTCCTTTTTCGAAGTTCTTCAAAGGGGTCCATCTTTCAGCTAGACTCCTGAGTGAGATTTTTAAACATAATTCAGCACTTATCCCACAGATGCTTAAAAGTCTTTGAAGATCCGAGCCAAGATCTTTGTAAATGGGACCAAGCTATAAACCCCTCTGGAAAGGTAGCCTTTGGGGACAAACCTGTCCTGGCTGACAGACAGTCCCCCAACCTCAAATAGCATCTCTCAAAAAGGCTGATTAGCACACTCTCATCCATACCAAGGCACCAGGCCTTGCAATAGACCCAAATGCTTGCTGTGTCCTCACATCAATATAAGCCACATACTCACAGGACCAAATAACAAGAAGTTCAATATCCAAAGTTTGTTCACCTGCAGTTCTGCCAACATCATATACTCCATCATATACTCATGTAGACAGCAGACAGGCTTACCATGCCTGTCTGCTGTCTACATGAGACAGACAGGGCAATCTCTGCCTATAAGAATGAATGATCTGACATTAGCTGCAGAAAGACACAAAAACTTGTGGTAAAATACTTCAACTTCCCTGGACACTCCATCTCTGACCACGGGATTGCTGTTCTTAGGCAGAAAAAATTTAGAAACCAGTCAGAAAGGGAAATTGAGGAACAAGAAATCACCCACAAACTAAGTATAGTTTTAACAGGGATGACAGATTCTTATCTCATTACCTGGAATATCTTTTGTGACCCCTTTGTACTTATAGATTTAATGTTTGTTTCTTTTTTTCTTTCCTAGCACTGCCTCCCTTGCTCCTCTTCCCCTATTGCTCCCCCTGCTTGTCTTTTGCATTATTTCTCTCTCCTTCTGACACACTGTTTTCTGCATGTCCTTTCACAGCATCTGATGAAGTGAGGCTCAGTTCATGAAAGCTTGCAGTCTCTCGCTATATATGTTAGTTAGTCTGTAAAGTTGCATATCTACCCTGCCTTCTATCACACTATAAAATCATATAGGTGGTTTTTGAAAAAAAAACAAACCCCAAAATGACCAATGGGATGGCACAAAATTCTATTTTCCTATGAAATACAAATGTCCGAGATCAGTATAGATATCACCTGCAAAAAAGTGTATGTATGTTGAAGGTTTTAGACTTCTTTAACACCCAGATGAACAAATGATAAATGTAGTTCAAACAAGATATATGTACAATAGTATATCTTAGACTGAAAATGTAATGAGCAAAGTATCTATTTAGTAGAAAGATACTTCAGAATACTTACCAGGAAAGTGATTAGGGAATTGTTATAGAAAAATCCATAAAGCTTTCAACCTAATACACAGCTGTCATGAAGAAGGCAAACAGGTTCCTGAATTTTATTGGGAGAGGAATACAATATAAATCAAGTGATAGAATATTGCACCACCAGTTATTTCTCATGTCACATACTACATAAAATATTGGCCAAAATATTTTATGAAGGTTAAGAAAGTACAGCAGACAGCAACCAAAATTATATCAGGTTTC